AGAGGGTAATTACCCCCGGTATAGATCTGTGGGTACCCTACAGAACCTAATCGTGGAAAAATCTTTTTTAATTTCACGGGCAGCAGGTGTTTCACGCCGTTTTTTTGAATTTACAAAACAAATTATTTGACCCTTTGGGGTAGCGTATCAGTGATGCTTACAGTAGAAGAGAATGGTACACCTGGTGCATGGTAGGTAGGGCATAGCGTTCAGTTTGTATCGTGTTAGCTGGTTTCCTGGTATGTTTGGTGTTGGTAATCAGCATCAGTAGAGCACGGAAAGTGTTCAAATGATATACATCCAATGTGGCCATTGTTGTCAACTTCCCTCTGGTGTTCCTCAGAGCGGTTTGCCGAGACATCTTGTCGCAACCATGTCGCAATCCCGTTGAAGAGCATCCGTCATGAAGGTCAGCAGTAGCAGCGAGTGGCAATTGATCTCTCCGTGTGGAGCAGTGGTGTGGACATGTTACGGAGTACGGCGAAGGATACAACACGTAGAAATTACCCACCTGGATACACAGCGATCAGCAGAAAAGACGATGTGTGTCAGCCGCGAGCTCAATATGGGAGAGCATCTTTGCACGAAACCCGATACAGCCTTCCCGCCTTGCCTCAAGTCCTATCGGAGGGGCTATTTATGTGATACGACGGCAGGGATCCGAATGCCGGCTGCTCCGGACACAAAGGGAGGCTTGCGGTAGGGATCAAACTCGGAATGTGCGAAAGGGGCTTCCCGACCATGGGCTCAACTGCAGATTTGGAGGCCATCGAGGTGTTTGTGGTAATACTACTTGTAGAGGGAACCTTAAATCATGAACATCGGGGAAATAATTGTTCATCCTTCCAAGTCCTTCGAATGAAAATGTGCCGCTCATGCTCAAAATTGTTGTTGTTGTTGTTCTCTTCACATTAAACTCGTGTCAGTTGCTAATCCCAAAATCTAGCAAAGACTCGGTCCGTGGTCACAAAAATGCTAGAGCCATCACAAGATCTAAAGAACACGCACCCTACCGCATATGACACACGAGATAACACACCCCCTAGACCGGTTTTCGAAGCTCGATTTCTCAACTGCAGGAACAGTCACAGCGCCGAAAACGGCGGCGTTCAAACCGTCTTGTCGAGAGCTTTTCGAAAAGGTATCATTTCGTTTATGCATCGTCTTCGTCGTGGAGTAATCGAGCTTTGAAAATCGGTGAAGAGGGTGTGTTATCTTGTGTGATATGAGGTATGAGCAAGACNGTCACAGCGCCGAAAACGGCGGCGTTCAAACCGTCTTGTCGAGAGCTTTTCGAAAAGGTATCATTTCGTTTATGCATCGTCTTCGTCGTGGAGTAATCGAGCTTTGAAAATCGGTGAAGAGGGTGTGTTATCTTGTGTGATATGAGGTATGAGCAAGACAAGGGTACACAAGCCCGAGGAGGTACACCTACAATCCCAGCAGCACGTTTGCGTTGTTGTTGTTGTTTTCTTCACATTCGTGCTCACAACTGAACTACACTCGGATTATCTCCGATGAATCCCAGCCCACAGAATTTTCCTTCGTGTCGTTTTTAATGTGAAGACAACAACAACAACAATTACCTACGGATTCCGTTTAGACTACCATACCACGCCACATCAGCCTTGTGCACTTCTCACGCGCGTTTTCGTTCAGCAGACGGCAAGCTCTGAAGACTCACCGCCCTGTCTCCGCACAGGGCCTTCCCTCATAGGTATTGGGCGCTGCCGCTGTTGGGTCGTCTAAAACTGGTTGCTGCAGCAACTTGGACCGAACTTGCAAGGCAATGCTGCCCTGCTCGTCGTGCCGTTGTGGCAAGGGCGTCGCTCTGGTTCTCGTGGCGCTCCTTGGAGTTGGTTCGGGGGCATCTCACACACCGAGCCGCACTAAGGTAAGCGCGGTTCTGCTGGATCCTGCTGCAGCTGCGTCAGCAGCATCAGCCACTTCGTAATCTGCATCCTCTCGATCTCAGGTTTGCGCGCACTCGCCACGTGGATATCGTACCCTGTTCGACTTCAAATCAATGTGGTTTGAAAGTCAACCAACGTGCCCCTCAAATCTCTCAGATCATCTCTCCTATGCATATCCGACCCATGCGTTTCTCGGACGGAACTGAAAGGGTATATATACACCCGTGAAACCACACTCACACAATCGCCTCGTCTGGGGCTATCTCCCACAGCAGTTAGTTGCAGCACGCATGGTCTCGATCATGTGTTACTTGCTGCGAAGGAGTGTACAAGGGTTGTTGGATTTTTTTTTTTTGTGGCTTGTGCGAAGGCCTCCAATCTACTGGAAGCCAGTAGGGACACTTTGGGGACGCAGTAATCAAATTGCCTATTCCTCTTCCGCACCACGCTAAGCTCCGTTGTGTGTAACGCACGGGAGAACCCTTGGTCTATCATGCTTGGCTGAGGTGGTACGCTGTGTGATAAGCTGTGTGATGCCTCTCCTGGGCCTCTGACTCGCACATCTCCCAACCCGGATCCCCCCTTGGTCGTAAAACTGTTCAGTACATGGCCATGGTTGTTGTTGTTGTTGTTGTCTTCACATTAAAAACCATCCCGGTCTCTCTATTCAGTACCTCTTTCTGTCTCAATCTCTCCGTACTAATCCAGCACTTGACTCGGTCAATTTCGGTGGTCACAGGCTAACCTACCTAGAAAAGGTATACCAAAATAAAATGGACCCCAAGGGTTAGCAGAGCGATAAAATACAAGAAAACAAAAGAATCAGAAACAAATAAATAAATAAATAGTGGAACGTGCGCACCACCAGCCTGGGGGGTAGCCTTCCGGAAGGACCCCAAGGGTCAGCAGTTCGTGCCAGTGAAAAACAAACAATATGAAACGAAATAAACCAAAGACAGACGAGGACATAAACAAACTCGCACAGAGACAGGGATATCCGTAGAGACAGTCTGAACGCGACAGCAAACGGGGGAGAGGGCAACAGAAAAACTAGTCGCTGAAATTCAACCGCAACATGTGGTACTGCTGGAAATTTGCCGACTTGGCTTCTTCAGCATGAAAAATGTCCCCACGACATTTTTCATACAGATAGGGCCCGGAGATAAGAAACGCCAAAATCGTGTCCAACCTCAATATCTTATTCTGGGCTGAAGGACCAGCCGAAGTCGACCAACTTCTTCAACGGATTTCTTATTCCTTTGGACTGTCACATCCTGTGTTTCTTGTGATGGCGAAGAAACAACAAAACACCAAGCCTTCATGCCGCATTATAGCTAGCGCCCGCGATTTAGAAACGCTTATTTCAGGTCCAGCCTTGATTTATTATTGTGCTCTATTAACTCAGCGTCTGTCGTTCGAATTTTTTTATCAAGTTTCTTGTTTTTTCGTGCCGTCAAATCCTGCTGAATTTCTTAAATCGGCAATTTCTTGTTTTCTCTGCCCACGAGAGGTCCATCAAAACCGTACAGCAGACAGCATATCGTCGTTCGCAGCCTGTCTGTCTGGTGTGCTGTACCAGAGCCGGAGCGCCAAACAGCGCCAGAGCCGACAGGGGGGGGTACTATTGTTTTGCATGCCTTACCGGTACTCCCTTCTTCCCCTCGCTCCCCGACAAGCTTTTGCTTAGACATGGGTTATAGTGAAGGGGAGGGTCCCTCTGGCGAGCAGGGCTAGACTCACCCTCAAGGGATGACCGAAACCTTCTTGCTGCTGCGCATATCCGCCGCGAGGCATGCGCGTGGTGGTGTAGTTGGGTCGGCACTGATGGGGTCAGGCGAAAAAATGTAGATGCGCGGGCCTCTGGCCGTCGGCGTAGGCAGCGATGCCCATCTCATTTTTTGTGCGCGGAGGCAGACACCGTCAGAAGGTGGACGGGCACTATGTACAAGGCCCTAGGTTTGCTAGAGGGAGCTGCATTGCCTCAGTAACCTNGGCGTAGGCAGCGATGCCCATCTCATTTTTTGTGCGCGGAGGCAGACACGGTCAGAAGGTGGACGGGCACTATGTACAAGGCCCTAGGTTTGCTAGAGGGAGCT